CTGCTTATTGTGTGTCGATCCTTAGAGAACCCCCTTTACATTATCTAGATCACATACACTTATACAGACAGTTGTTGGTGTGAGTTTACAACTGTTTTTGAATAGAATCTTGGCCCTACCCTCGGCTCATCTGTGTGTATGTGGCGGGGGGTCGTCTGCTCATGGGCTCACGCTGAAAAGAATCTCTCCTTTGACACCAACCTCACAAAACCGACGAAACCTGTCTCTCTTGTCAGAGAACAGCATCCAGCTGTGCTGACCAGTCAGAAACTCAGGTGTCAGAAGTGGAATTCTTGGAGGGCTGCCTGAGGAATGTGCAGGTCATCCAGCCACCGAGACAATAGTGTGGAGTCTGTGCATGTATGAAGCCAGGCCCTCCGAGCCCTTGCTTTGTGGACCACGCTGTTTTGTCCCCTCATAGGCTTCACTGAACCTCTGCTTGCCTTCATTACTGACTTGTCAAGGGACCTTTGAAGAAAGTCATAGGAAATGCCACTCACAGATTTTCCCCATGAGTGCTGTTGAGGACACTGTTGAGGATGTGATGTCTCTTCTGAGGATCAGTTTCCCCGCCCACAGGGGACTGTGTGCCAGCTTCTGGTCCAGGCATCATTGTGTTAGGAGTTTCCTACCCATTATTGCTCCTTCATCTTGATTCTCTCACTGGGCTTGTAAAGATACTTTAACATTTTGAAGATGAAGCACAGTATCTTTGAGGAAAGATCATTAAACATTAAACTGGACCTTTCAGAGAATAGACATTGGCAGCTGCCTGAGTGACTGTGTGATGTATTTGAGCTCCAGCGGATAGACTTTGTGACACTCACTTTAGCCCAGGTGGCCCTGTCTTGACCCTACTCAACACAGGTTGCTCGGCAGTAACTAATTTCTTGCAGAGAATGGATGTGTGAGGAACTGAGAGGTGTGGGTGACACTTGCGTAACCCGGCACCAGCGTATTCTCACAGGTACACAGGGAACAGAGTATAATCCTGTCCTTATGGAGTTTATAGCTTGATTGTAAAAAAACTCTTTACAACATGAAACGTTGACAAGACAGCAAGGAATCCCATATCGGTACGTGATAGTGAGCACTGCAGAGACAGGTAACAGTAGTGGAACCGGCAGCCCGGGAGAGCCTCCATGTATACAGAGCAGGTGTGATAAGCAT